AGCCAAGTTTTCATGAATTAATTGTTTTTCGACGACCTAACCTACCTAACCTAACCTAACCTAACTTTTTCGGCTACCTAACCTAACCTAACCTATAAAGATAGGTTAGGTTAGGTAGGCTTGATTAGGTTCGGTCATATATCTACGTTAATTTTAACTCCAATAAAAAAAAATTGACCTCATACATAATGAAATGGGTAGCTTTATCATTTCATAAGAAAAAAAATAGAGAAAATAGATTAATTCAGGAAAACTTGGCTTATTAGGCAAATCGGGCCTTGCATAGTAGGCCTAATATTGCGTTCTGGCTACTAGGTACGACATATATATATATATATATATATATATATATATATATATATATATATATATATATATATAACGACCCTCAGAAGCGCCCTGATGGGGTCACCTTGCTACCTTGGAAGGATGGTAAGCAAGTGGTATGGGACTACACGTGCGCTGCCACACTGGCCAGTACCTACCTCCACTACAGCACACGTGAAAGCGGTGGTGCTGCTTCTTTCAGGGAATCGCAGAAAATTATTAAATACAGAGGTCTAGCACACTGCTACAGCTTTGTTCCGATCGGCTCGGAGACCCTCGGTTCGTGGGGAAAATGTGTATTGAAGTTCCTGAAGGAATTGGGGGACAAATTGATCAGCGCTACAAAAGACCAGAGAGCAAAAAGTTTCTTGTTCCAGCGCCTCAGTGTTGCGATTCAGAGGGGAAATGCCTGTTGCGTCTTGGGCACTAGTCCAACTTCAGAGGAATTCGAAGAAGTGTTTGACTTGCAACAATGATCGAACCCGTCTGTGACATTCATCAATGTTTCCCATTGTTGTGTTCTTCAAGAGATCCATAACCTTTAAGCACCTTTTTGCATTATTATTTTTGTATCAACCCATGTATATCTTGTAACCATCAAATGCATAATAAAGCACAAAAAATATTCAAGGAAGGGGGTGGTAGGAGAAAAGCACACAGAAACTGTATTGGAGGGGATCTAAACATTCCCTCTAATGCGTTATGCGTGGTTTCCTCCGAGGCTATGGGTCCCCCTTCTTCCAGCTAGAGGTGGTACTCCCTTCCTATGTATATATATATTAAAATATATATATATAAACTATATATATATATATATATATATATATATATATATATATATATATATATATATATATAACATATATATATATATATATATAATATATATATATATATATATATATATATATATATATATATATATATATATATATATGTCGTACCTAGTAGCCAGAATGCACTTCTCGGCCTAATATGCAAGGCCCGATTTCCCTAATAAGCCAAGTTTTCCTGAATTAATCTATTTTCTCTATTTTTTTTCTTATGAAATGATAAAGCTACCCATTTCATTATGTATGAGGTCAATTTTTTTTTATGGAGTTAAAAATTAACGTAGATATATGACCGAACCTAACCAAAACCCTACCTAACCTAACCTATTCAATCTTTATAGGTTAGGGTAGGTTAGGTAGCTGAAAAAGTTAGGTTAGGTAGGTTGGGTAGTCCAAAAACAATTAATTCATGAAAGCTTGGCTTATTAGGCAAATTGGGCCTTGCATAATAGGCCGAGAAGTGTGTTCTGGCTACTAGGTACGACATATATATATATATATATATATATATATATATATATATATATTATATATATATATATATATATATATATATATATATATATATATATATATATATATATATATATATATATATATGTCGTACCTAGTAGCCAGAACTCACTTCTCAGCCTACTATTCAAGGCCCGATTTGCCTAATAAGCCAAGTTTTCCTGAATTAATATATTTACTATAATTTTTTCTTATGAAATGATAAAGCAACCCTTTTCTCTATGTATGAGGTCAATTTTTTTTATTGGAGTTAAAATTAACGTAGATATATGACCGAACCTAACCAACCCTACCTAAAACCTAACCTAACCTATATTTATAGGTAAGGTTAGGTTAGGTAGCCAAAAAAAGCTAGGTTAGGTTAGGTTAGGTAGGTTAGGTAGACGAAAAAAACATTAATTCATGAAAACTTGGCTTATTAGGCAAATCAGGCCTTGAATAGTAGGCTGAGAAGTGCGTTCTGGCTATTAGGTACGACATATATATATATATATATATATATATATATATATATATATATATATATATATATATATATATATATATATAATATATATATATATATATATATATATTATATATATATATATATATATATATATATATATATATATAGATATATATATATATATTATATATATATATATATAGATATATATATATATATTATATATATATATATCTATATATAGATATATATATATATATATCTATATATATATATCTAATATATATATATATATAGCTAGATATATATATATATATATAGATATTATATATATATATATATATATATATATATATATATATATATAACATATATATATTATATATATACTATATATTATATATATATATATATATATATATATAGTATATATATATATATATAATATATATATATCTATATATATATATATATATATTATCTATAGATATATATATATATATATATATATATATATATATATATATATATATATATTATATATATATATATATATATATATATCTATATATATATATATATATATATAATCTATATAGATATATATATTATATATATATATATATATATATATATAATATATATAGCATATATATTATATTAGTTGCCGGTCCTCCAACAAAATGATATACTTATATTATTGTTAAAAGTAAGTATTCATGTTCATTAAGTACATGAATTACCAACTTAGATTATGTCAGAACACATCAGACAGGTTAGGTCTGATCAAATTTCTATGTTAGTTTTACCTAAAATTTAAAAAAAGTGAAATCACATGTAATATAATGGAAAGCTTTATCATTCCATAAGAAACAAATGTAAAAAATATATAATTTGAGGAAAACGAGGCTTGTTAAGCAACTCCTGGCTAATTTAATCTCTTAAACAATGTATAAAAATTACACGCCTAAACTTATATTTTAAATAAGCCTCTTTCAGTAGGTAACACTCTTCACATAAAGAAATAAATAATCTGAAGACAAGAGCTAAATAATAAGGTAAACAAATTTGACGTGCAGTACTAAGATTTATTTGTTCATTAAAAGAAAGTTTTACAGTATCGGAAAAATGCAGCAAAACCCCTAATATAGCGAACTCATTAGGCTCTGCACGAATTTAAACATAACCAACAAAATTTTCACTGATAAAGTAACAAATACAACTCCTAATAATGCATAAATAAAACATTCAAATCTTTTAATAATAAGAAATATTAACCACTGTGCTGTGCGGCCTTAAAATATGACATTCCCGCTGTGCGCCAAAAATAAATTCTTTGCAAAAAAATTATTTTCTCTTCTTATACCTGTATTGTTAAAATGCTGTCTCTGATCATAGGAAAATAAACAAAAATATTGTATTTGACATACTTTAGCTGTGTTGGTGCCGAGAAGTTGAGCAAATTATGGGCGCTGAGCGATGGAGCGCTCGGGGTCACTCAACCCCCCCACTCCGTGGGGCGGCAGTTGCTGTGAATATAATTTTTCAATTATTTGTATGTTCCTCATTCGTTTCTTCTCTTTTTTTATTGTAATATTATTCAACAGTGTGTAATTTGCGGAATCTATATAGTTCAATGTGTTGAACATCGCTATGTTCAAAATTATGGGGCTCATATATGTGACATGTATATTATATTGTACGATAAAACAGTGTTTTTGCTGTTATTACACTATACACATTGTATATACCTATCTACATTTACAAGAAAAAATGTTGCAAAACCAAAGCAACAGTCAAAACAACAAGAGTGGCCGCAACACAGCAGCTAGCAGACCCCACCTACCTCCCTCCTTCAACACCTCACTCGCTAAAATTTCTCCTCCCACCATACTGTGGTTTTTATTACACTATTTACAAATGTTATATATAAGTATCTACATGTTTTGTTCACCATAACTGTACAACTAAGCAGGTATGGTGTCCAAACAACATAGTGGCCACAAAAAACTGCATGACAAGTGACACAGCAACTAGCAGATGACAGCCTCACCCACTCCCTCACCAAAATGGCTCCTCCTAACATATTCCTTTTGCTGTTATTACACTATATACATAAACACGTTATATATATAATCATCTACATTTCTGTTCACCATAACGAACCACTAAGCTGGTATGGCGAGTCCAGACAATAACAGGTGGCCACACAGAGTTAGCAGACAACAACACCTCTCCCTCTCTCCTCACCAAGATTACTCCTCCCACCATACTACGCACATCGCTAATTCTCACCACAATCCTGCTATTTTCAGAATCCTGGTCACTAAATCCTGTAAATGAATAATTTTCCACACGCTTATTTTGTAAAGGAACAAAAGTCGTTTCAAGATTCTTAAATGGACAAAACAATGGCAGTGTGTTGTGGCTAGCACTGTGAACATCTTGAACAGCATTGTGTTCACTGATATCAGAAAATTGTACACAGTCTTTATCACAGTCAGGCTCTTCTGTAATACTATCATGGCTTAATAATATCAGTTACATATATATTTTGACTTTATAGGCGATGCTGTGGTCACAAGCTGAACAGCAGTGCTGTTAGCTCATGCTGCATGCGCCAGCCTTGGTTGCTCACTCAGTACTGAGGCTCTCACACCCGGGAATGTTGTTCACAATTTATTATAAAAATGGTGTCTGTTTCCTAGAGCCCTGAGGAAGCTGATGTGAACTCCCTGTGCGGGAGTTTATAATCCTACGCTATACACACGAGTGCCCAGAGGCGCTCTGTGCAGTGCAGTGGTTAATGTATGATCTTCCTCTGCAAACAATTTGCAGATTATATGTAAGAAATTATAAGAATAACTGAAAAACCCATGTACTTTCTGAGGTCTTTAATTGATCTTGGTCCAAACAGTTGTCAAATTTCACTCATTTATTTGTACAGGTTCAGGATCTGACATAGTACAGCTTAGTGATCTGCCACTTTAATCAACCCTTATACAAAAATAGCAGCAATAAAAAAAAAAAAACTTTAGTGGCATCCAAATTAAAGATAACAACACTTTTATATATAAATACATTATATGAAAAACACATTAAAATATACAATCTTGTCCTCAAAGAGTTCAAACAAAAGTACTGTACTGTATACTTAAAATATTCCTGCAACATAGTATAGAGCTTCTCATTAAACCATCCCACATTGCTACTATTCAAAAATTATATACATTACATTATACAATATGTAACTAGGCCCATCCACTGATAGGCATAGGAATATGCATTTCCGGGTGATCGAACAAGAGGGTGCGCATTCTGGGCTTCGGTTCCCTCCGGTGACTGTGGAGAAGCTTAAACACGCCTGTACCAATATTCATGGGCTTCCCCATTATGATGCAATCACTGACGCCCTTGATGGGGTTACTCTGACCATGATACGCTGCGTCAAACAAGTGATCTGCAGTTTTCTCAAACTGAAATTAAATGAATCATATTAAGGAATATATTACATTAAGGATTTTTCCCCTGACCAACATTTTTCCAATCCCATTAGTTTACTAAATATGGTTTAAACAAAACCTTTCCCTAATCAGTCCGAGCGAACGAGGTGCCGATGAACAGCATAATGGTTAAATTATCGTCTCTCGTTTCTTAATTTGTCCAGGTTGTTAGAATAAACAAGGAAAATCAAGATATAGTAAGTGAATTTCAGTGTCAACATTATAAAATTCAACCCAAATTGTTTTTTTATTAAAAGGTAACTTTTTATCGTGTGATTTTAATATGAAAATCTTGACAAATACATGTACATGCTATAATAAATCATGGCACACAACAGTAAAGATGACAATGTTTTATTGCAAGAGATAAACAAATAAAAAGCCCCAATACAAAATTATTTGGATAGTCATTTGGATAGGATTGTTTTTAGTTACTGTATTGATGTACATGTCAACTGACAGAATAGCAATCAAAATCATGAACACTTTACACAATGATAAATAAAAGTACCATATAATATGCACCTAATTTACGAGGCTATTTTCTGCCAATTTCTTTTTTCATTATACATTTACTTAAGTGATATTCAAGTGGAAAGGAAAACCATGATTTATTTGCATATAAATACAATACTGTATACTGGGCTGCTTGTGGACCAAACATGTATCCTATCCATTGTAGAATATGGCATGTTCTTGGGAAGCTCTAATAAAGTGTGTAAGTCATCATGTGAGTTAAAAAAAAAAAAAGTTAACTTACAGAGGCAAGCATAAGGACAGATTCCTTCATTTTGGAGAGTCCATGTCGAGTGATCCCCAGTACCTGGCCACGGGAAGTCATCAGGTCAGCCAGGAGCATCACGTGCCGCCGATCAACACTCAGACCATGAGTTTCCATCGTTATTGTAATTTCCCTAATGATAGTTAGTCTGTGGATGATACAAATATACAATTAAATTATTATAGTGTGTGTGTGGAAAAATATATAAATACGGTGATTAAAATCTGTTAATTCTGAAGCTTTGCCTGACTTTATGTATCTAAACTGGTAGAACCTTTTATTATATACAACACCACCCTCAAGGAATATATATACACTGGACTATGGCCACAGAGTTGCTCCTAAATAACACTACAGTGGTATCTCGGAATGCGAGTGTCCCTGTATACGAGTTTTTCGGAAGACGAGCAGGATTTACTCCAAAAATATGTCTCGGAAGGCGAGGGTTACCTCGGGACGCGAGTTTGTTGATACGTGTACAGGCCGACTGGCGCGTGGTGGTATGGCGATCGCGCCTCAGTTTACCAGTGTCTCGTGTCCAGTGACTATCCCACCTGAATTCTTCACAAGGATTTACAGTTTTTTATCGTTTTTTTTGGCCATTTGAGCATAAAAGTTGTCATTATATATCTGCCATGGGTCTCAAGAAAGCCATTGGTAAGGTTCAACCTAAGAAAATAGCTGTGAGTAGAGGCAGTAGAGGATGTCCCTTCTTGATTAAGAAAATGTGTGAAGTATGGGAAGAACTGCAAAGTTTTGTTGAAAAAACTCACCCAGATAAAGCTGTAGCAGGCCGTTGCATTGACCTTTTAAATGATAATGTGATGTCTTACTACAGACAAGTGTTAAAATGTAGGGAAAAACAAGTGTCATTAGACAAATTCTTAGTAAAACAAGCAAGTCCTAGTTGTATGCAGGCAAAATGTGCCAGAGTGTGCATACCAGTGAAGTCCTCACTGCCTGATGTGATAATGGAAGGGACTCCCCTTCCAAACAGTAACTCCTCTCTTCCTCCCACCTCCTCACCATCTTCCATACGCCTACAGCATTCAACAGCAAGGTAAGTAATAACTTGAACATAGTTTTGTAGGTTTATTTAGATGAATTGGGTATAAAAATTTAGTTTGATGTGGGGTTTTTGGGGTAGTCAGGAACGGATTAATTCATTTCCCTTTATTTCTTATGGGGAAATTAGCTTCGGAATGCGAGTTTTCGGAATACAAGGCGTCTCCAGGAACCAATTAAACTCTTAAACTGAGGTATGCCTGTACTCTGCTCACATCCTGGGTAAAGACAATGTATTGTAATATATATAACCCTCTTTCCCACTAATAGAGCTTTTTCTACATGCTCCAGCATTACTTTGGAATGCAAAGGAAACCAGTTTTCGAGCCTCCTAGTCTGCTGCCCAAAAACACCTCCCTCAGATGTTAAGCCAGCTTCTCCACAAACATTCAGGCAAGATGAGAGGAGTTCACTGCCTTTGTGTACAGCTATGGACCTAGAATATCCCTGCTCTTAGTTTTAGTTATTAATTTTATATTTTTTATTTTTTTATATATATATACTGAATATGTACATGAGTTCTTACATTCTTGTACAGCCATTACCACACATAGCATTTCAGACAAGTCCTTAATCCTAATTTACACACACACACACACATTCATTTCCCGAGACCTGGAACTTCAAGAACAAGAGGTCATAGATTTAAACTAACTAAACACAGTTGCCGAAGAAATATAAGAAAATTCACTTTCGCAAACAGTGGTAGACGGTTGGAACAAGTTAGGTGAGAAGGTGGTGGAGGCCAAGACTGTCAGTAGTTTCAAAGTGTTATATGACAAAGAGTGCTGGGAAGACGGGACACCACGAGCGTAGCTCTCATCCTGTAATTACACTTAAGGGGGTGTCTGAGGATTATAGATGAAGTTGTTCAATGTCAATCAATATTAATTTTCTAGTTGTATATGAAAAGTGCTTAAATTGTCCAAAGTTTCAGTACTGCAGCGTAAATAGAAAGGGAGTTTTTTTTTTTTTCAACGTTTTTTACACATTTTCAAGTCCACACTTCAGAACACACGTTTCAGATACAATTATTCTGTGACACTTTTCTGACACATTAGCATATAATAAAGGATTTGGGGCTTTAGAATTTCCAAAACATCTTTAGTTTTCCTAATACAAATGTTCAAAGTTCCCAAAATTTTTTTTGCAAATATGGCATGTTTATTGCTATTATAAAATCAATAAATGAACTTAGAGAAAAATGAAAGCCCCTCAATGTAAAGACATGCCCTCCACATATACTGTGTAAGTTTCATGTAAATTGAATAAAAAAGGAATCAGTTTTGTAAACGTTTGTGTCAACTGAAAAAAAAACAGAAATGAATAAAGTCTAAGGTTCTAAAATCTGTGGCTGAGGTTGACATCAACCAATTTTCTCCAAAATTGGCATCCTTACCGATAGGCTTACGTACAGTCAGGTGTGTAAGTTTGATGCAAATCGTCCGAAAAAAAAATGAAAAAAAAAATATTGAAAAAAAAAGAAAAAACTTTTTTTTCTTAATTTTTTTTTCAAATTAAACTAATTATAATATTTGTTTAATATATGCTATTGTGATAGCAAAGAGTCGTAGCTATGATTTCAATTGACACTTTTGATTGATAATCGATTTTGACCATTTTTGCATAATTTTCACAACTACTTCAATATTTTTTTTCTCCCTTCCTATTTATGCTACGATGCTGAAACTTGGACCAGATGAAACACTTTTCATATAGAACTTGTCAAAAAAGTTTGATTGAAATCGAACGAGTTTTCATTTTTGAATTTTTGGACCCAGATGCCAACCAGACGCCCCCTTAAGTAATTACACACACACACCCCAAGAAGCAGCCTGTACCAACTGTTGAACTCCCAGGTACCTATTTACTACTAGGTGAACAGAAGCATCAGGGTGAAAGAAACTGCCCATTTGTTTCTGCCTCCGCCGAGGATCGAACCCGGATCCTTAGGACTACGAACCCCAAGCACTGTCCACTCAGCCGTCAGTAATGAACTCTACTCTCTACAGCCACTACTAGGCTCTTGGTAAACTCCGTCAGGCAGCTAGCCTAGCATATCAGACCATACAGTCGAACCTCAGCACCTTCGTCCACAAGATTAACAGCTTGTCAAATTCCCCAACCCTTTCCTCTATATTGAGAAAATGAAGCTTCAAAAATATAGCTGCACACTTTCATGGCTACTCGAATATGTCTAATTTTGTAGACTTGCAGTATCTTCCAAGGTTTCAGTAAAGCACATTATTTGAAGTCAAAGGTACTCATCTAGTTGGATTTGCAGGAGGTAAAAGTCATGGCATTTGGACGCCTACCCCTCTGGTGTATATATTCCCCCTGCCCATGCCGACTGGTGTATAGATACCAAAGCCTACTGGGCTGAAACATCTGCCAGCTTTAAAATTAGATATGACAACCCTGGAATCTATACACCAGTTAATTAAGGGTTGAGGAACAGGACACAAATCATGGGTTTTCCCTTGCAAATACAACCAAGCAAGTACCTTTGGCCTCAGTGTGCCTTACTGAAACCTTAAATGGTATGCAATAGAATAAAATGAGCCTTTCCACACAAGGCAACTGCATGAGCAGTTATGGACTTATGGACTCTCCTTATGGACTGAAAATTAAAAATTATCCAACATTTACACATAATGCTTATGTGTAATTGCTAAATAATACACATAGGTTAGGTTAATTCACCTAACAGTAAATAGGTACCTGAGAGTTGGTAAACATCTGTGAGTCGCATCCTAGGGAAGGTCTGTAGTTGGTCTAGGCCCTAGGGGGTCAACAATGATCCTGACAGGATTCCTGCCCCCCGACAAAACCAATAAACCACGTGTGTATGATCAACCTTTCACACGAGTGACATTACTGAAACAATACATCACAACTAAACTTCACCAATGGTATAAACTTTCAATCAGTAAATATTCTCCCCATCTAAACTTTCAACCAGTTTAGATGGAGGAGCTTCAGTATGATGACCTTTCATCTCTGACTCTCACTTGCTACTACAGTAGTGCTTTTAAGATTAGTGTTTGAAAATAGACACTTACCTTGCAGCTTCAATGCCAAGACATGTGAACACTTCATACGTATTGTTGGAAGTACAGCGGGTTCCAGCGACACCATAGGTAGCAATGACCTCCCGTAGATTGTCTCCCTCTACCAGCAACTCATAGCGATTAATTCCTCCAGGTCCAGTGTCATTCTGTAGCCACAATTGCCAAAGATTTAATATTCACATTCAACAGTCATTACCAATATTATAGAAAGAAAATTTAATATTTTTTATATAAATAACAAATGAGGGTTGTCATTTAAGAGAAAATGTCGTGTATGTTTCTTATTCTAAACATGTCATGAGAAAGAAGATTCTACCGGTTGACATACATGATCATGTAAGTCATTTTAAATGCCAAGCACTGATTCAAGGCCAAGCACTTTGTCTCTTTGTATACCTATGAAGAGACAAAGAAAAGGAAGGACTGCCAGAAAACCCCATACCGCCGCCGAGACGAAGCACGCAGGTGGGACACCAGCAAAGAAACCATCTGATCACCAAGCAGATGGTGGGAGCCTCGAGTCAAAATTGCCAGACTTGAAGACTCGAGGAGAAGACCGAACCAGCCTCGTCATGGACCGGACCGATTATTTGAAAGAGGCAGAGTGAAAGAGGTGAAAAGCCCTGGGTGCGGACACCAAGCAAGCAGCGCTTGAACCAAGGCAGTCAAGGAACCAGGAAACCAAACCCGGCGAGCTGGGTAAAGAACCAACCGGGGTGAGCAGATATGCCCCATCCAGGAGGAACCCCCCCCCCCCCCCCGGGACCCTTGAAGGACCAACAACAAAAGGACAACAACAACAACATTGTCGTACAAAAGTACGACAATGGATGACAGCGAGAAGCCGCTTGCAGAAGCTGCCGAACCACAGACTCCGCAAACAGCAAGGACAAAATGGTAACGAAAACCTAAGAGCCAGGGCCCAGGCAGATGGCAACAAGGAAGCGAGCCGGAACAAGAGACACGAAACGAAAAACAGTGGCACCACATCCCGCAGGAGCGGCACCACCAGACCCAGCTAAGCAGAACGATGCACACGTCGCCAAGGACGTTATGAGGAGAACAATGTAGGACATGTACCGCACTAAAACAAAAATGCACTGTCTGGAAAAGGAACACAAAGAAAAGGCCATAGCCAGGGATGTAAACCTAGCTCCTCCTGTCCCAACAGGTTCTATAACTGAACACTGGGTCAGTTCAACAACAAGGAATTGAACAAGTACAGAGCCCAACCTAGCACTAACATTAGTATAGCCAATATGCACCTACTAAGAAACAACAATGTAGGTTATCTTGAGATTTTGGTTATCTTGAGATGATTTCGGGGCTTTAGTGTCCCCGCGGCCTGGTCCTAGACCAGGCCTCCATCCCCAGGAAGCAGCCCGTGACAGCTGACTAACACCCAGGTACCTATTTACTGCTAGGTAACAGGGGCATAGGGTGAAAGAAACTCTGCCCATTGTTTCTCGCCGGCGCCCGGGATCGAACCCGGGACCACAGGATCACAGTCCAGCGTGCTGTTCGCTCGGCCGACCGGCTCCCTAGAGTCGGTCGGCCTCTATACTCTACTGACATGTAGAGTATAGAGGTAGGAATACTGTACGTGAAAATGCAATGAAAAGACCTTAAATATGGCCCAAACACTGGTAGCTAGGGACAAGAGGATAAGCAATATGATGAACTAATAAGACCCAGGAAACAATTGGCAACGGAATGTACATGAACAACCATTAATACAGAGAGACTTGTAGCGAGGCTAAACAAGACACTCGCTCCAAACACATTTGCTAATATCAGAAGTAAACCTCACATTAGCACCAACATCTGTTCACTCACGACAAGGAACATACCTTCCATCCTCCCAACCTATTGGAGGACGGTGAGGTGTATATAAGGTGCATTCATGTATATGTAACGTATATACAGTATAAAGGTGCAGTCAGGCACTGAACGACTGTGTGGCTTAATCTTCATCAAGCAAACTCTGAACAACGGTCAACGAACAAGTGTCCAGAGTTCAGGAAAGATCCAGTCATTGAAAGACTAAAGGAAAAGTTACTGAAATTCGGGTTGAGCCCCACAGCGTAATGAAGAACATCATATACATATATAATAAGGGCACGTTAAGATGCATGCAAAGTGGGCAATCAACACCACAAACAATACCCAACACTCATCCACAAATCAAGAACCAGCGCCTGGCCGACAGTGTCGCCAGACCGTGTAATCTCGCCTGTAGAGCATAGGCACTATAGTGTCATGACACAGCTTAGCCAAGTAATATTCTGGGAGCATAGCTAGTGGAGTATGTCCAAAGGAGCGTGTACAGATGATGATTAGGTGTAGTGTAGAAGTGGAGGCGGCACCATTCCGAGCCACCCCACACTCTCATACAGAGAAAAGAACTAGGCGTTTTCCCTATACAGTATATATAAAATCCAGAACTTCCCCAGTATCTAGGGGGGCTATAACTGGTGAGATAAGATGAGCTTCAGCGCTTCAGCGCTATTCACGCTTCAGCCTATAAATTAATTTACAAAGATACGTGTGCCACAAATCAGTGAACGAAAATCATTGAAACTCAGTCGTTCACTTGTGTGGACCACTCTGGCTGGTATTTAGTTAATATGCATCACTTCTTGTGTGGACCATTCTGGCTGGTGTTTAGTTCATATGGTTCACTTGTTGTGTGATCCACTTGTGTGATCTAACTTGTCTTATGAAGGAATTATTAATTGTAATCTGTGAGAGAATGAGGCAGTTTTCCACCACTCTGTGAACTCTGTCCCAACATCGTAAGCTTGTGGACCACTTGTGGCCCACATGTGTGGTGGTCCACTTGTGTGATCCAACTTGTCATATGAAGGAATTATTAATTGTAACTTGTGATGGAATGGGAAAGTTTTCCACTACTCTGTGAACTCTGTCCCAACTTCGTAAGCTTGTGGACCACTTGTGTGGTCCACTTGTGTGATCGAACTTGTCATATGTGTTACAATTATTAATTGTAATCTGTGATAGAATGGGAAAGTTTTCCACCAGTCTGTGAACTCTGTCTCGACATCGTATGCAATTCCAAACATTCCCCGCTTCAGCAAACCATTGTTCGCCGAACCGGGTGAGTAAATCCGATCTGAAAAGTGTGCGAATCAAGGTTGTACTGTAATGTCTAGACAGTACGGAGAGAAGAGGTGATTACTAAATAATCAGATATAACATCGATAGATGATAAGTAGTACGGTAGGGGACCAATGAGTCCTAGACAGGACCAGAAGTAAGCCCCACCAGAAGGCGACAGACGTTCCAATAATGTTGTAAGGATCGAAGATCTACATGAACCTTTGAGATCCTAGACCAAGCACAAAATCACGGAGGCTCATATGGGCCCAGTGGCATCCGTGACCAATGGGCGTGCAGGAACCCGATACGATTTGAACATGATTGTGACATGGAGAAGAACACATGTTCAAGATGAGACAGTAGTTAAAATTACCCACAGGAAGGATGGAACTGGCGGACCCAAAGGGACACGGAACCGAACCCAGGGAGGGGCTGACACCCAAACTAACCCGTATACACCTGCTTGATGGGGTTCTGAGAGTTCTTCTACTCCCCAAGCCTGGCCTGAGGCCAGGCTTGACTTGTGAGAGCTTGGTCCACCAGGCTGTTGCTTGGAGTGGCCCGCAGGCCCACATACCCACCACAGCTCGGTTGGCCCGGCACGTTTATTAGAAAACAGTCTAGTTTTTTCTTGAAGACGTCCACGGTTGTTCCGGCAATATTTCTTATAGTCGCTGGGAGGATGCTGAACAACTGCGGACTTCTGATGTTTATACAGTGTTCTCTGATTGTGCCTATGGCACCTCTGCTCTTCACTGGTTCTCTTCTGCATTTTCTTCCATATCGTTCATTCCAGTACGTTGTTATTTTACTGTGTAGATACAGAGGAGGGAAAAAGAAAACCCCACTCCTTGTAACAGAAAAGCCCCGCCCCCAAATCAGCTCCTCCCCCACCCCGGGAACCTCCACATCAGACCCCAGGGGCGTGTCATCCTCCAAAGCCCCGGCCTCTCAAGAAAAAGTCGGGGCAGCCGAAAAAGCAGGAAGAGGGGGCCCACTGGTCAGACCCCGGTGCCACGACTGGAGAATGGATTCGAATGCCTCCGTCACCACCCCGGAAGGGGCAGCCCCCGAAACTGTCCTAGCCTCGTAAATCTTGAAACCCTGCCCCAAAGACCTCAGACACTTAGGAGAGGGGGGGGGGGGGGTTTGGAACAAAATGAACCATAACAGGAAGAAGAACGAGGGGGGTGCTGACTGAACCAAGGCTGAAGCGACCAACACTCCAAAGTCCGGGTCCCTATGAGCAAAGCGGGGCAGCCTTGGGGCATCTGGGGAAGCAAACAACCTAGCACGTTGCAGTAACCTATACCCAGCATACAATGTCTGAGCTGCCTGCACCCTAATAGTATCATCAGTAGATTGGGTGAAGTGAGACACAAACAAGCAACAATGCTCGCAGGGCTCCGGGTCGAGGTGTCACCGACCCAACAGGCAGCATGATGGAGACAAAAACAATGAGTGTCGCCCTGAGAAAAGAGGTCAGAGCAACCCTCAAACTCGCACAAGGCGAGAGGGGACCAACGGGTCGCATCCATTGGACTCTTTGCGCCCCCACAGGGTTTCCCAGGGCCCTTAGACTGTTATTGATAAGGGTAAGCCTAGGCAGGGTACTGCTAACCGGCACCCAAGACTACCAAACAAACTGCTAAAGCTGAACCCCCGGGACATGTCCACTCATGGGGGCTAAGCAGGGGGTACCACCGAACAACAGAGGTCAAGATCCTAATATAACAGGAACACCAATGCAGACTGCAGACCCCCCACCAGGCAAAAACAAAAATAAAAGAAAAACCCCACAATAGGGCAACGTACCCAGGCGGAACAGAGCCGGTCGCTATTATAGGTGAAAACTAGCTGCGCAGTACCCCGTGCCCCTACCAGTGCAAAAACTACCTCTTACCCCAAGGCAAACCAAGGAGGAAACCCCCAACACACTCGGGGTAGTCAATCACAGAGCAACAAAAGACCAACAGAGGTAGACCCCAAGGTGACTCGTGAAAGATAACCCCAAGCCCCAAGGACTGTACTTACAGGGCACTCAGGGAAGGGAACCCTAAGCACATGCAGCCCGAGTACCTGTGAATATTACTCCCAGCTCACACGCCACCGTAAGAGAAGTACTGGAGACAAGGCACAGCACAACAGAGAGTCTGGAGCTGGAGCCAATCAACCATGCCACCATCACATCAGCCGAAGAACTGCAGGGTGGATCGCCGGCGCGGGGGTCTGGAGCTCCCCCTTCCCCCTCCTGGACAGGGGAGAGGGGAGAGCTGCTCAAGAGATGCAACGTGGCTCATGTGATGTCATGCTTGATTACTCATTTTCATTTGGGGAGTTCTGGCCACTCATTTGTTTACTTTCATCGTTTTAACCAGAATAGGGGTTTGTTTTGGGGTGCTTACCTTTCCGGGTGCCTGTCCCGGTCGATGGCAGATCTAGAATTCTCCAAATCACATGTGCATTTCTATGGGCCATTGCTCCTCGTGCCTCTCTAAGGGGGCCAGGTTCTGGTTTGTGGTCCCCGGTAGGCCTAAAACTCCATTCACACTGACTGATGCCAAAGTCTAATAAGATACACATCAACCTGGATAGCTCTGGGAAGCCATAGGGGCCCCCCCAGAAAATGCATACAAACTCACACATGAACAAAATACCAGCATTAACCTGTTTATAAACCAGCTGCACAGTTCCTGTACCGATACTTACTTGATTAATAACAGCACGATTCACTGAAGGCAAACCCTTGATGATTACTTTGGTAATGTGTTGTTTCAAATGCTGCAGCTGGTAGTACATTGCAGACGCCTTCGTGATGGAGGGTCTAACTGTGATGATCGTATCAGACTCGACACGAACATCCGATTCTTTTACCTAAAATTAAAAATAAAAGACTAAAACCATTATCAAGCACTATGCCATCATAATTCAGTTAAAACATCAATGCAAGGCCACACGGATCGTGTAGCACAGTGATCTACGTTTAAGACTCTCAAGCGAGGGCCCGAGTTCAATACCCGGCCATCCTTTCACCCGATTCCTCTTCACCTAGCAGCAAAAATTGATACCCTGGGGTTAGGCAGCTGTTCTGGGTTGCATCCTGGGGAAGGTCAGTAGTTGTTATAGGGTGGACATCGATGAGTCTAAATACTGTATAGGCTTCCTGTCCCTGACAATGGGAATTATATAGTATTTTGAAAATACATTGGCACCTCTGTGTATGATTGCCCGAGTATGAACTTTTCAGTGTGACAAACAATGTCATCGGAAAATATGCCATGGTGTACGATGTTCACTCCAGTGTATGACACTCGTTCATGCTTGTCTGAGTTGGTAAGATCAGTTTACACTCTTATCCCTTACACTTACTTCTTACGGTGGCTTACACCTCGTCAATACCTCGCTTGAATGCTGTAAAAATTTACTAATTTTTGTCCTTTTTTTTTGTGACTTAACATTAAAAGTTCTTAATATACATCATGCCAAGGGTCCCAAGAAAGCCACTGGTAAAGTTTAACCTAAGAAAATACTGTAGTTGTAAGAATGACGATAGAAGAAAATATTTTTGTAAACACGAAGACAGTATACACACTGTTGATAGTCCCAAAGTCACCAAAGGACACTTAAGGGCTGAAAAAGGTGTGGCACAGGCTACCTGGAACAGTGTTCAAAGTACTGTACATACAATGATAACACAGATTTCAAGACAGGAATCAGATGGAGAGGACACGACTGGTCTGCTAGAAGCCATGAGCTTGAATATCAGAGGACACTGACGAGGATACCATGATAATGGCAAACCACATTGACCTGTACTAAGAGATGTGGCTTACACCTGAATAGAAACCTGAAGGTAACAACAGCTGGCCGCCACAGGGTAGTCTACTGCGTTGTGATGAACTCGAGGATGTACAAACCAGGCCCGAAGCAAGAAAGGGCCATGATAGAAGAAAATTGAAAAATATTTTGAGTAAGAAATATAAGATCAGGACAAAGATACTGATTCTTTTCACCAACCAATGGTGACAAATCTAAAAATTCCAAAGGATAGCATGAAGCTTACATGCCCATGAGGTGCAGGAATAAGAGGTCTTCGAATAAGGAAAAAAAATGAAACCTATCAAGCCATAAAAATTTGGACCCCATACCGAGAAATCTAATGAGCTTAGATAATTGGAAAGATGTAAGTTAAAGAATGGCCTATCAAATGAAGAAAGTCACAATGAGAAGAACAAATATGTAAGAGGGCTGGTGGAGAGTAACATACTATACCATAAGATAATCCACCAGGTCAACTTGTACTGGTAGCAATACGAAGCCAAAATACTTTGTTGCAGCAACTGCATCACAATCATTTGAGATGCCAAGTAGATGTAAACAGGTCTACGTGAGAATGTTGAAAATGGTGAACATCTAAAAGAAGGATGCCTCGAACACCACCCATTCTGATAAGAACTGACAAAATCGAGAGAAACTGTCCACCAACATATTTGACACCCAGCAAATGTAAACTGAACTGGAGACTAGACCTAAAGATGACAGTAAAGCTTTGCCAGAATTCAGCACCCCATCAGAAGGGACTTGACACAACAAACGGACCCACAACGAAACACCAGCAAGTGAAGCACTCTAAAGCAATATTTGAGCACTGCCCATCCAAAACCGGAGAATCAGATGAGCCAAATCATTTAAGATGACAGAATGCAACGAAACCTGAAAAGTAATGTGTCAAAATATATCTCGGCAAAGGCAATAAGCATGCCAATATATATATATATATATATCAATGAGCACTGTCTTAGCAAGTACATGAAACCAGAGTGCCTAAGGATGAGAACGAGGTACCTATACTGGTCTCGAACATGCCAAAGCCATCACAAGCACAAGTCAGAACAAATGTGATACAGGTCAAGACAGGGAAGCTCCTGTCTAACCGTGGTCAGAAAAAGTAGCCAGTTGGAAAATTAGTAATTGGATCAGCTTGCAGCTTGGCAGTCCCTGAAATGTAGGGAGATGTTTAGTACTTGTAAGTGTACTGTACTTTCTGTGATGACTCCTGCTGGATTTTCAGCAGGCAGAACTCATTTTCTGCCATCTCCCTTGTATCGTAAAATTATGACTTGCTGGTAGGGTCACTTTGAAACGATCAGTGCTGCTTCTGGTACAGGAGGTCATCCTGAGCTATCATCAATCTGCCTAAAGATGGCTTTTACTGGGCTTGCCTTAAAAATTTCCTGATGGGACAAGCCCAGAAATACATGTATATGAAAACTAACAAGATATAGAGATCCAAACAGCTTAAGAAGCAGCTGTGTGGGGATACAAACAGTTTAAGAAGCAGCTGTATGGGGATCCAAACAGTTTAAGAAGCAGCTGTATGGGGGATCCAACAACCTGTTCTCTTGAACAGTACATCTCATTTTGATGTATAAATTCCCTAAGACCAAGAACTCATGTACTAAAAATCATAACGGCTCATGAAATTGAGATGAAGTCCCATTTTCTATTAGTGGGAGATGATGTCCCATTTTCTATTAGTGGTAGATGTCCCATTTTCTATTAGTGGGAGATGATGTCCCATTTTCTATGTGGGTCCTCTATTAGGTTAGAGGCAATTAGGTTAAATCAGGCAATTTAGCACATTTTAGTGATGACATGAATGCTCAAGAGGCTGGTCTGGATCCAAACAGCTCAACACTATTAGAGAGAAAAACACTTTGGATTCTTTCATGTGCACTATGGAGTTGTCAACATGAAACAGGTGCACAGTGCAGGGGTTAAGCAGCAGCTGCAATGGGTTCCTAATACCTTAAGAAGTAGCAGTATTAAAACTGACCTTTAGTTTTGAGGTGCAGATGGAGTATTTAATAGAATGAGCATCAACCTCCAGCTTTAGTAGTCTTATACGGTCCATTGCAAGCTTCAAGAGAAGGAAGCAGTCGTCCGGCAGGAAGACTTCCTCCACGTAGTTGCACACTTCACCCAATAACGTCTTCTCGACGCGACCTTTAACCTGCCTGGCTTTCTCTGGATCAGTGTCATCCTTAAGTTTGGCCGTAATAATCGGAGTCGAGATACTGCGTGATGCGTTGATGATTTCCAATATACTGTAAAGAACAACACAGTTGAGTAGCCATTACTGATAACATGAAAAAATAAAAAAATAAAATATATAAAAACCAACCATTGAATTTAATCAAACAGTCTTTCTGGAAGATCCCCAATGGCTGCCTGAGGCATTCACACTGATAGTGCTGAACCTAAAGATAACATTAGCCGCACGAGTTCTCTATGGTCTACTGAGTAACCTGAGCCAGAACCTGGCCTTCCCTCACACAGGCACAGAGAGCAAGTGACAATTTGCCACCCTTGTTGGGAAAGCATCCAGGAAAGACAGCAAAACTTTACAAACAACTCAAGGGTTCACAAAATATTCAAAATTAGCTCAAACTCGTTAGAACTTATCCGCGCTGGGCTACCACTCTTTGGCCCGGCCGTAGCCCACAGCCGGCTTCCCTGATTAGTTTTGAAACTGATGAACAATCTACCTACAAACCTGGAGGGAAGGACAGGAATCAGAACCACTGGGGGGTCTAGCATAACAAAGCGTTACATGCAATGTAGGGTTTCTGGGGGGAGCACCCCAGTTACACCCTGAAGCTCCCTAACCACGGAAAACAAAAATACGGATTTTCCAGAGAAGGTACTATGAGGAAGGAGCAAAGCCAACTTGGAAGACAGGACCTAAGCAACATGTGACCAACTGGGACCAGGAACGTTAACCAAATACAGAGCTGCCACAACCCTGTTACAATGTCTAACATTCCCCCCCCCCCCTCTCCACAAAGCCCAAATATCAACCTAATACATATTGGAAAAGATCACCACCAAAGTGACATTACCTGCAAACATTGTGAGCTAGACCACAAGCTGGGTAGACTTAATGACACTGTGGACCACCTGGGAAATGTGTATCTTAGAACAGGGAACTAAGGAAACAGGTTCAACCCACAATGCATCTACCTGAGTAGAACTGGTATCCCACATATAGCAGCAAAGACCAGCCACTGGACACAACAAATAATGTTCCCCGGCTGGACAAACCAAGCATCAATCACTAAAGGACCTCCTTCAGAAGCCAGCCGAATCATTCTTCAACAGAAAAGCAGAAGGTTACAAATGAACAAAGCACCCACCAGGGCCAAAGAAGCAAAAACCCCCACCTCAGGAGATGAGGATGAAGCTCCACTGCACACCAGCCAGAGGTGAGGTCCAGCAAGAACCCTATCTTAAGGAAGACATCACAAGCCAAAAGGAAACTCAAGAAGAGAGAAAGAAATCCTGTCAAGAGACCAGGACTGTTCAGGAGGAACATGAGCAATGTCGAAGTGAAAAAGCACAGGAGTCAACCTGTGGAACAGCATCGAAGAAGCATAGACGCTGAACTCAAGCGACAGCGGGTCCCCTCCAGCACTGACGAATGAGGCGACAGTATTAAGTACAAGACGTTGAACAAACAACCAAGACACAAAGGTCAGGACCATCTTTACCAAAACCAAAGAAAGACTACAAAGAAACAGAACAAAAGTGAATGAGCACCAGGCAGGTGGGACATGAACATCCCAGCCACCATATGAATGGTGAAAGATTTGCGTCAAAAACTCCAGATGCATAGAGCAAGGAGAAGGCCAAACCAGCACAGTACATGGCCAGCCCTGGGAAGTACCCCCAGGGATGTGCCCCCAGGGATGTACCCCAAGAGATGAGCACCAGGGATGTGCTCCCAGGGATAAGCACCAGGGATGAGCCTCATGGATGTACCCCCAGAGATGAGTGCCAAAGATGTACACCCAGGGATGAGTGGCAAGGATGTGCCCTCAGGAATAAGTACCAGGGACGTACCCACGGGGATGAGTGCCAGGAAAGTACCCCCTGGGTTGAGGGTCAGAGATGTACCCCCAGGGATGTACTCTCAGGGATGAGCTTCAGGGATGTATCCCCCAGGGATGAGGTTGAGGGATGAGGTCCAGGGATGAGTGCCCAGGAATAACCCCAGGAATGTGCCTCAGGGGATGAACCCCAGGGATGACCCCAGGGATGACCCCAGGGAATGAGGTCCAATAAATGTAAGGAACCACTTCGTCAGAGTAAGCAGAGGTAAAAAGAGTCATGAAACATGGAAACAACTAACTGGTGACTCAGAAGGCAGAGCCCAAGAGCTGATGCTCACCCTGCAAGCACATAAAAGTGAATATAGACAAGACTAAAACAGACAGGCAAGTAGATAATTCCAGCACTGAATGTAAGCGTTTCTTTCTGGTGAACTGCTCGGTGGTTAGCTCTAGGGAGGTAAGGTAAGGAAATTGTCAGGAGAAAGGTAATCAGTAAGGTAAGAAAGCAGGAGAAAGCGTACATGCCAGTACGACTCGATGGTACTCAGAAGGGATATCAAAATAAGAATTTAGGATAGGACAGACGAAAGGAATAGTGCCCAACCACTTGGATGGTCGGGGATTGAGCACCATCCTGCAGTCCAAATGGTTGGGCACCATGCCAAAGACTATACAGAACATGGAAGGGATATGAGGCCAAGGAGCTGGAAAATGAGGACAGGGTGAAAAGAATGATGCCCAAGCACTTGGACCATCAGGGATCAAACACAAACCCTGCAAGATGTGGGCTGTTTATCTACTGACCAGAAACAAGTAACTTTACAACTTACCGTGGCACACCGAGGGTGATGTTCATGGCAGCCACACCAGCAAAATGGAAGGTCTTCAATGTCATCTGCGTTCCTGGCTCACCAATACTCTGTGCACAGAGAGCACCAACGGCAGTTCCTGGCTCCATCACTGCCGCCTGATACCGATCCAGACATGAGTTGAGGAAATGGATCAACTGAGTAAAGGTCAGGCGCTCTATGTGTCGCTCTACTGGATGAGACTTGCGACCCGTAGCTTTTGATAGGCGGGATCGAATCTAAAAAAAAACAGAAAATCAATTAAAGCATGTCTTAAATGAAGAATTCAATTGAACTACTATACTATGGCTAATTTAAGGATAAAAATTGAGAAAACCAGTAAATTTATGTTCAATCAATACCTGCTACCTAGTTAACACAAGTGCTGATATAACTGAAATTTCTATAGAGGACACAAATTTGGCCACACAACATACCTTGTCAACTCTCTTGGAGAATTTTTCCATGAATGTCTTTAGCTCGTCTTTGAACTCATCTGATAGCTCCTTAAATGCATCTTCTGCCAGGTATTTCTCTGCCAGCTGAAGGATTTCAGTGCCCGTGAGGGGATCTTCCTCCGGAAATGGGTTCTTGGCTCGGGTGTGATCAAGGACACGCTCTAGGTCAATAGGTCCAGTGTTGCCCTCCAGCTCAGTGGGGTCAAGCCCATCACCGCCATATTTGAACTGTTGATGAATCACTTAGGAATTTCAATTTTGTAATGGACAACAAATTCAGAGGGAACTTTATTGAATTCTATGACAAGATCACCAAAGTAAGGCAAGATAATGAAGGCTGAATAGACAATATAAAACTGCCTGAAATGTTTTGATACAATTTCCCCCAAATTACAATGTGATACAATGTATACAAGATGGAGAGAGAAGCAGGGATAACAGACAGACACCCAACCCACAGATCTGAAAATGAAGAATTGAAGGGTTTGAACCCTCATCACTGCCCTTGCGAATTTGTTCAAGAATTGATGATGTTTCAGTCAAATACAACAAATACAAATATTTATTCAGGTAAAGTACATACATACAAGGTGAAATACAAAAGTTGATGGATTTATAGATAGAGCTGTCTATCTATTCAGTCCATCCTGAATCATTATAAAGTCATGTAATGGAAAACAAAAGTGTTTGAGGGAAAGACAATTTATAAAGTAAGAGTGAGGTGCCAGGTAAGTGACAGATAATATGGATAACCAGAAGGACACTACACTAGTTATGGGAGTACCTGATGGGCAGAAAACGAAGTGTCACAGTCAAAGAGGATTGGTCAGGCTGGAGAGGAATGGAAAATTCCCCATGGGCTCCATCCTGGAAACCTTTCTTCCTAATTTATGTCAATGATCTACCAGAGGAAGTGTGCTTGTACATGTCAATGTTTGCAGATGTTGCAAATTTAATGACAGTAAAAACCGAGGAGGATTTTAGTGTGCTACAGGAAGGCCTTGACAAACTTCAGAAGCACAACTGGTTAGGTTTCTGGGAATTCTTCTACATCCCGAGCCCGGCCAAGTCCAACAGGTTGTTGCTTGGAGCAGCCTGTAGGCCAACATATCCACTGCAACCCAGTTGGTCTGGCACTTCTTGTAAGAATTTATCTAAATGCTTCTTGAACACATCCACCTTTGTTGCAGCAATATTTCTAATATTTGATGGGAGGATATTGAACAGCCGTGGACCTCTGACAGTGCTCTCTGATTGTGCCTATGGCACCTCTACTCCTTATTTGTTCAATTCCACATTTCTTTCAGTATCTTTCACTCCAGTATGTTGGAATTCATGTTGGTCCCAGTAATTTGTTTGGGACCAGGCCTCCAAGTGCTATCCATGTATATATTATTTGATACCTCTCTCGTCTCCTTTCGGGAGAGTAAGTTTTGAGAGCTTTGAGATGGTCCCAATAATTTAGATGTTTTATCGTTTCTCTGTTTTGTATAAGTTCTCTGTATTCCCTCCATTTCAATAATCTCTCCTGCTCTGAAAGAGGATGTGAGTATTCAGCAGCACTCAAGATGGGACAGCATCAGTGATTTAAATAGTATTAGCATTGCTGAAGTATCTCTGGATTTGAACATTCTCATAATCCATCCTATCATTTTCCTGGCAGCCACTATATTTAGTCAGTTATGTTCACTAAATGTATGGTCATCTGATATCCTAATTTCTGGATCTTTCACATGTTTTCCTTCTATGAGTAAGTCTGATAGTGTCCTGTACCCTTTATTTCATTTAAGCTCCTCATTTCCATCATACCTAAGTACATACCTGAAACTTATCATCATTAAACAACAAGTTATTTTCCGTTGCCCAACCGAAGACTCTATTAATAACACCTTGTATTTTTTCAGTGTCTTCTACAGAGGAAATTTTCATGCTGATTTTTGTATTATCTGTAATGGATGGCACAAAGCTATGACTAGTATTTTTGTCTACTGTATATCCAAAATAAGAATGAAAGAGCATTGGTGCAAGGACTGTGCCCTGGGAAACAGAGCTTTTTGCTGCACTTGGACTTGATCTTATTTGATTGACTTTTTGTATTCTGCAAAGAGTCAACTCTTTGCATTCTGTTTGACAAAGTTGAAAAACCAATGCCCCACTTTACCTGTTATTCCTACTGATCACATTTTATGAGCTATCAATCCATAGTCACACTTACTGAATGCCTTTGCAAAGTCTTTGTATACATCTACATTTTATTTTTCATCTAATACTTCTGTGATTTTGTCATAGTGGTTGAGTAACTGTAAAAGACAGGATCTTCCTGCTCTGAATCCCTGTTGACCTGGGTTGTAACGTTCATTGTTTTTCATACAACTGTAGATTTTATTCCTAATCACACATTCAAAAACTTTAATTACATCTGATTAGTTGCTGTTGCTGTGTTGTTGTTGCTGGTATCTACCTTGCATCCAGGCTCTTTCTCCATATTACACTGTGCGCTCACACTACTGGTACTTTACATTTCTTTATGAATATTAAATTCCCGAGTCAGGACCTGAGGCTAAGTTCATAGGCATGTTGTCAAGTCAATTTCTCTTTTAAAATCGTCTGTGTTCGTGTTTATATCACTTACATTAGGTTAATAAATAGCTGTTGAAATTCAATCCCCCATAAATGCAGGAAATAAAGATGGGAAAGAGAAATAGAAAACTTTTAGGAAATAACACTAGTGCCAAGAATGAATTTAAGCATTATGGCTGACTTGATGTCCACACTTCCAAGGGATAACTGATCAATTGGGATGTGATTCATATGCCAGGCTGTGAGCAGATGATTCTAACAACATAGTAGACCAGGCCACAATCAGTTGGGTGGTGGTCTGGAGACCGACCCCTGTCATCTTGTGTTGATAACATCTGTCACACGGACAACTGCTGTCAATGCAAGGTGACACCAAAGTAAGGTCTAGTCATCACAGCCCAAATAAACTAAATGTTTTACTCCTTGTTTCTTTCAACTCAACCAAGTCTTTTAGTTATTGCCATATTCTGCTGCTACTTGATACTGCTTCAAACACAACACTAGCCACATCGCTCTCACTCCCTGTAGATGTAACTAGCTATGCATAAGAGCAAACAAAACCACAAGGCCTACAAAACCCTCACGTTTCCACAAAATTTACCAACATACATCTTCAGACTTGCAGAAACATAAATGATATCCCATATCCAAATAAAAGGTAGGAAAACACTTATCAGTGGTGATTGAACTTTCTAAATAGAGCATCCTGTAGTGTCTCATAAGTCTGACTGCACATTCATTTGAAAAGATCCACAGTGTTGCAGAAAGTAAATATCAACGTGACCTGGCTGTCTGATCCTATCCTTGGGAAGAGCAAAACATTGCCCAAGGGAGCAACTAAATGGCCTGACAAAAAGGGTGCTTCCTATCTAGACTCAAACCTTATTTTTAACTCTGCAGCCAAAGTGTCAAAAAGCCGAACAAACCTGTATAATGTCTTGCGTTGAATTACGAACAGTCATGTCATATGCCACATACAGGTCCTCCAGCGACTTCACCAGACGCCGCTGCATGTAGCCCGTTTCGGATGTTTTGACAGCCGTGTCAACCAAACCCTCTCGCCCAGCCATGGTATGAAAGATGAACTCAGTAGGTGTCATTCCAGAGAAAAAACTGTTACTAACAAACCCCTTTGCAGCGGGTATCTTGGAATGCCTGCAGGAAAATGAACCACATGGCAATAAATGAGGTACATTATATTTACAAGACATCCCTATCAGCCCCCACTCGGCCATGCCCAAAATACAGATGACTGTATGATACAGTAGAATGTTATCAGCACAGAATATGATGGTCCAGTGGAATGAGCACAGCTGAATGTGGTTGTCCAGTAAAATATTATAAGCATAGTAGAATCCATTAGTCCAGTGGAGTGCTATGAACACAGAAGAATGTAATTCTAAAGTGTACCAAAATTAGAAACAAATATATAAATATACAGAGAACAGCTAATGGCACAATTCACAAACACAAATATACGAATCTTGCAATACTATAGCACACCACTAGCAGATGATCTGTATGAAATTTGGAAATGATATCTTTTGCACAGTAACTTTAGATCAAGCATCGCTAGTAATAATAACCTGATCAACCAGAATGTTGCGTTTTAAAGCACACAAGCCAACATGGTCATCAGGGCCTAGTTGATTAAGCATTTCTAAAATAACATACAAAGATTCATTTAAGGTTTCTAATACCCGAAATATTACCGCTATAGCTGTTGATGGTACTGTTAGGATTGTTGATGGTAATTTTAGGATTGTTGAAGGTAATGTTATAATAGTTCATGGTAATGTTATGACTGTTCAGGGTAAAATTATAATTGTTCATGACAATGTTATGACTGTTCATGGTAATGTTATGACAATGTTAACCTTACTTTTCTTTGTATTCAGACGTATTTTCTGCTGAGAGCAACATTTCCAAGTCTTTGTTTGTCATACAAACGTTTCTGACATAAATTTGCAGACACCAATGAAATCTATGTTCCAAAGAGCTCTTTAGGGTGATCCCCAAAGATCACCCTAAGGAGCTCTTAAACAAATTAAGTCATTACAGGACATGCACTACACTGGTTCTAAGGCCACGCATTACCTTTCATAGTGAGGAAGAGCACGATCATCAAAACCATTTGGAACTCTCTTGCCACCGATGGCCTGCTGGCCCACACACGCAATCATCTGGGAGATGTTGATAAATGAGCCCTTGGATCCAGAGATGGCCATGATGAGCGCCGCATTAGTCTTGTGCAGCTCCATCACACACGCTTTGCCAGCTTTGTCACGAATAGTACTCAGTTCTTTAAGAATGAGCTGTTCCAGGGTTTCCTCTGCCGTACAGCCTGGTTGGCACTGGAGCGTTCCTTCCTTAAGCTGTGAGATGAATTCATCACATTTACCATATCTGTTAGGGAGTAATGGTTTTATATTACAAGCATGAATAAAACTCTGCAAGTCATCTGGCAATTATAATAAACGATAACTTTTACAACAACATCTAAAACATAATCTTTGCACATACCCATCGTCAAGCAATTCTTGTTTTCTGGTGAGCAGCCCAGATCCTGGCATGACGTCTCCGATACCAATAGAGAAGCCTCTATTCATGAGGAAGAGTGTGGAGAGTCTTGCTACTCTCCACATGGCATCTGCAGCATGGTCCTTTCCATAATCCTTCAAAATGACATAGAAGATATTCTTTTTGGAACCGGAGCCCAAAAGTGACTTGTCAAGAGCACCGGCGAGAAGCTCCGAGTTTCTCATGATCACATAAGCTTCATTGGAGCATAGTTCTTCTCCTCGTGTGTAGTCTTTTCTCTTTGTCGTCAGGTTGCATTCGACGGGGAAATCCTTATTGGGTCGTATTATGGCACTAAATATCTGCTTCCCCGTCCATAGCTGCTTAGGCTGCAAGTAAATAATTTACAAATAGAGACAAAACATTATTTAACTGCACAATGAAATCACAAGAACATGGTGTATCTATGAATAAATATTCAGGCTTAATGATGGAATCAAACCAGCACCCATGAACTCCAGCAGACAGTGTGTGTGTGCCTGAGGGTTCAAGAGGCACGGGTTTTATCCCATCATACAGCCTCAATATTTATTCATTACTTAACAAATGATCATTTCCAGTTTCAGAGGAAATGACAAACTTCTGCACGATTTAACCCCTGCACTGCGCACCTGTTTTTAGCAAGAACTTCAAAGTGCAATTGTTAACGTCATATTTTCGTTGTTTTTAGAAATGTTCAGGTAAAGTTAATGTCAAAATGTTTTCCAAACTAAACTATTTTCATTTCAAAATACAAAGAGTAATGAAAATATTAAAAAAACATTAAAATATAGCCTAATTAAAAAAAAAACATACAACTTTCAAAACGACATTTGTTGGTTGGCACAGTTGAGGTGTTAAAAACGAGACCATAGCCTCAACATTGCCAAAAGTCCTCCCCCAACAAAGAAAACAAACAACCAAAATTTTGTGAAACTAGCCCTCCACTAGTTTGTCCCCACCTTTTCCCCTCCTTTGGGGGAGGAGGGAGCCTGCCCAGGATATCCACCCCCCACCCCCCCCAACCTCCACCGTCCAGTTCTATAATGATAAAATACGCCGAGCTGGGGAAGGATGTCAGGGAACCTCCGGGGTACACCCAGAAACTGGCTTTCTATTACATTCAACACGTTATCTGAAGGAAGCCCTGTTGACTCCTTTACGCTAACTACCAACAGAAAGGGCCAGAAAGAATGACAGCACCACAGGTACTGTATCAAGTTGAGGAAGAGGCCAACAGCCATGACACATGACCCCCAAGGCTACACAAGTTCACTGAGAACCAGGGATATTAACAAGGAATACTATTGTTAATATTGGTATTAATATTAACAGGGATAATATTATCCCTAGTATTGGGAACCAGAGATATTATCATCACTTCCAAAACTAGCTAGACTTAATGAGTGCTGGCTAGACTGAATGACACTGCAGACAACCTGAGAAATACAAGCCCTGGAACAGGAAGCCAGGGAAACTGGATCTGACTGCAGATCAACCCACGACACCGGATTTGTTGTGGATTGGCACAAAGCGCATGATGCACTCCCAGCCGAACCAAATAAGCATCCACAACTAAAGGACCCCTCCGGTAGTTCGCCAACTCATTCTTTGCCAGAAAAGTTTCAGAGCCAGCTGCAACCGAACAAAATGATCACCAGGACCAAAATAATAAAATCCCCAGTGCCAAGGAAAGCAAAACCAACACTTTCTGACAGAAGTCCCAGACCTTAGGGGGACACTGTAAAATGAGTGGAAGAGACACAAGAAAGAACCTGGTCCAAAGACTAGGCAGGGTCAGGCAGTGTATGAGCAGGCTGGAGGTGAAACAAGGCATGAGAAAATTTGCGGAATAAGGCCAAAGACGCAATATATACCGAACGCTAGTAGAATCTGCTCCACCAATGTCCCACGATAAGAAGTGACAGTATTCAGCATAAGATGCCGATCGAGAAAAAGGCAAGAAAGGATAAAACAACCCGGCCAAAAGGGCAATGACGAAGGGAGAGAAAATGGTGAAAAGACTGCCAAGAAGCCCACCACAAGGGCCTCACAGTCAGGGAAGGTGGCACGTAAAAAGGCAGACACCAAGACCACACTGACACGAAAAAGTAAACGTCCAGGCACTGGACACTCCCTGGACGTGACCGGCACAGAGATGCAAATGCCAAGAACCCAGCAGATGAGCTACCCGAAGCAACCAGCCCCAAAGAGACACAGACCGAAGAGACCGTTCACCTCCCCAACCAGTTGAGAAATGCAACAACAGGGCAACAGTACGAATGGAGCCGGATCACCGAGCTCAGAGAAATCTGAACTCCCTAGAGCACCTGCAAAACATCAAAAATAGAAAATTGGATTTACAACTTCATAAACTGAAACATGTATACATGTATGCGTAGTTGATTGTAACCATGATACAGTATATATATGTGCTTCAGCCTGCAGTTTAGATCTATTGTCTTGTGTATGATCCTCTGTTGTGTGTGACAGTGAATACCACTATTATCCTAACTTTAACCCTTAACATGCTCAGGGTCTAATATCCTGCTATCCACACAGGCGCATGTCATTTTGAAAAAAAAAAAAATTTTTTTTTTTTGCTAATCTGTTAAGTTCTGTTCACTGATCACGGGAAAAATAAAAAAAAAATTCTATTGTACTTACTTTTGTTGCAATAGAGCCGAGAAGCTCTGCGATGACGTCACAATCTGCATGGTCGCTCATGCAGTACACGCCCGGGAGATGTTGCGCGCGGTCCTCAAACAGCCAGAGTTGCCACAAATATATTTTCGCGCTATTTATTTACAATGTCTAAGCGCATTTTATCTAATTTTTTTTCACTAATTGTGTTTCAAATACTGTTTGAACATATTTTGTATCAATAATTGTTGCATATTTGAGTATACACAGGCGCACACAAATGTTTTCAATTACGGCAATATAATATGTCATTACAGTCTATTATATTATATGTTCTGCTTATATGTTTACATATTTACACACTCGCACACGCTATACACACTTTGAAGCACACTTAGAAGATTTCTAGACTGTGGTAGTCATTGAAGCAGTCGACAGCACATAATGGGATACCACACGTTTCACACCATGTTTGCACAAGCTTCCGTTTCTTGTCTCTACGTGTCGTTGTTTTACACACCAAGCAATCACGTTGGGCTATTGCACGCTTCACACCAGGTGGCAAATACTTAAGTTTGTGTGCTAGGAAGCCTTCAGTGTGAGCGAGGCGTGGAGTACCAGCATGCTGCAACAGTGGGTTTATGATGGGCCGCTGAATACCTGGGACATCTTTTGCAAACTTTCCTAATAACTGTATTGCAGCATCAAATACAAAGTCACGGAAAGTGGGCTTACGTCCAGTTCTCACAAGGTACATGTTGAAACAGTTCAGCATGCTCATGTCCACACTTCCAAAATGTAGACACCTGAGGAGTATCTGAAACCTGTCTCGTGACATATATTTCCCGAATAAAGGTGTTGGTATTGTCTTGTCCTTGCTCCAATAGTCATTTATTGCATGTTTGTGACAGTGCTTCATCAACAAACAGAGTGCCAAAAACACATACATTTCCGCCACTGTGGTATTTTTCCAACGCTGCAGTCGTGAAAATTCTGTGATTTCCCTCTCAATCAGGTAAGCAGCATGCAGGTTCGTTTGGTGTACAATGTATTCCATGAGTGGTTCATCATAGAATGCTGTAAAATATTCCATCTCAGCCATGTCCTCACCTTGATTAGGGAAAAGGTTTGTAATCCCTACATCTTTATCGTCAAAGTGAGGAATATTAGGAATAAAGTCGTCACCATCACTCCACTCAAGTACACCAGGCGTCCTGCGAGATGCAGAGGAAAGACGGCGAGGAAGCGATGCATACCGGCGACCAGGAGCTGAATACCGTCTGCGAGAAGCACGGCGGCTACGTGCACGTGAGGTGGGTGCACGTGAACACGAGGGTCTTGGTCCCTCATGTGGTGCCATGCGGTGGCACTTGGCTGGGCGAGATGCTGCTGACGCGACAATTTCTCGCCCAGTTACACCACTGGTACCAGCCACAGGCTCAATAAAACTTTGATCTGAGTCACTAAACCCAGAAAAGGAGTCACCTCCCTCTGACTCGTCACCCTCAAACAGAAAATATCCACAGGAACTGTGAGGTCGTGGTAGAATTGGGGTAGAAAATGGGCGAGGAGGCATGGGAGAGCGTATAGGCCTCGCCATGGCATGGCGGTCATTCTCACTTTCACTGCTGCTGCTACTATCTCCCGACAACTGTGTATAATCCTCATCGTTGTCTGAATCGTCAAACACACTTTCTTCACCTTCAGAGAATAATTCGTGGGCTATTTGCTCTGGGGTGAGGGACTGAGTGATGCGTGCTCGTGAGGCGTTTGACCGTGCGCTCGCCATGGTGACTCTCGCTAAACTGAGGCCTCCCATGCCATCGGAGCGTGAGCTGGATTTTTTTTCAAAATGGCCGCTGTTTACTAGAGCCCCTGGGCAGCGTATGGGACCCCCAGCTACACCGCGGGCCATTCAAATCGTGCGCGGTACCCATACACTTCATATGAAGTGAAGCGCAGTTGACTGGTAAAACGATTTACACTTCATATGAAGTGATGCGCACTTTAAGGGTTAATAAGACCTAATTGAACTCCTCAGATTAGAATAAATTGTAATTAATTTTTGTATATAAAGATGTTAATAATAATATTATTCCTTGGTTGAGTTTCTGAGATTCCTTTGAACCTCACAATATTTAATATTAAATGAATATTCTGAAGTAAATTTACCTTCATTATGGCTGGTGGTGGAAGGTCAATTCTATATACAGATTCTTTGCCAGCCAGAATGGACGTTATCAGGGCACAGGTGTGCTCCTTGTCAAAAAACTGGTCCTTTTGGGTGATGAGGTATGATCCTGTGAGGAAATCCTGTGTAGCACCGATGATCAGAGCGCCGTGTCTTGGGGTTACGAGGTTGGAGGTTACCTACAAAAGAATGATGTAATGAGATAACTGAAATGCACCTTTCTGAGAGGGACCTTCATTGCTTCTCAGCCAGGCCCAAGCTCCACCTCAAGACACTATAAATGATGCACTTGCCGCATTGAACCCCACCTTCTAAACATTTATAGTCAAGTGCAAGGAACATATCAAATGGTCATGCCACGAAGGGTAGAGGCAGACAGTGGTGAGCACAGCTCAATCACACCACCAAAAGGAACCACCTGCCGACACTAAAGAACGGATCAAAACTTTTAATACCGCCTCCAAGTGGTAACTGGTAACATAAGATAAGAAACACTGCAAACAAGTTTACAACTAGCTGTTACTCGATCACCACCATGGGGCAACCGGAACAACCATGGACATCTTCAAGAGAAAACTAGATAGTTTTCTTCAAGAAATGCCGGACCAACTGGGCTGTAATGGATATGTGGGCCTGTAGGCTGCTCCAAGCAACAGCCTGTTGGACCAAGCTCTCAAGTAAGGCCGGGGTTGAGGAGTAGAACTCCCAGAACCCCATCAAACAGGTATCAAGCAACAGTCAGGTAACACTGCTGGGTCAAGGAAGTGGATGACTAGTTCCACTTACAGGCCAGGCCACCTAATCATGCTCAGGAAAACCAAGAAACAAAAATATGGGAATTGGAGAAAAACTCATGGCCTGCTCAGGTATACACTAATAGGTAAAACCCTGGACCCGGATTCACGAAGCAGTTACGCAAGTACTTTGAACGTGTACATCTTTCTTCAATCTTTGACGCCTTTGGTTACATTTATTAAACAGTTTACAAACATGAAAACTTCCCAATCAACTGTTGTTATTGTTATAAATAGCCTCCCGATGCTTCGGAGCTCATTAACTGTGTAATAATCATAAAGCCACCAAAGATTGAGAAAAGATGGACAGATTCGTAAGTACTTGCGTAACTGCTTCGTGAATCTGGTCCCTGGTATACACCTAATCTTCTTACCTTCCACTTAACAGGTCTCACTTCAGTAATCAGGTTCCAAAGCACTACCCAGAACCATATAAAATTTTGAGGGACCTGAAAACCTCAGAGATAAGGTTCCTCTAATGAAAACCTCAGATATGCATAGGAAAGCTATGCTTTCCTATGCATCAGAAAGAAGGATGCAACCACCAACTGCGAGAAAAGGTAAACTGAAACCTGCACATAATTTCCAGCGAATGGTATCGGTCCCCACCCGCTAACAGGAGGCGAACAGCACTAACAAGCATGCCTACACACAAACTACTTTATCTCCTGCTGAACAGGTTTCACTTAAGTAATGCAAGTTCTGAGGTGCTACCAAGGGCAGGGGGTCTGCCCACTGGAGAATTCCAAAAACCTCAGAAAAGCAGTTAAACTCTATTAGTACTACTGGTGCTGCCATCTGCTGATCGTGAGCATAGGTAGTTGATGCAACTTACACAATTTCAGAAATCGGAAAGATTCTTGGCTGCCTTAGAGATTCCAGCGATCGTTTAGAAGAGGTGTTCAGCTTTGGCATCACAGTGAGCTGTTATTCTTGCTGTAGATTAAGGTCTGCTCTCAACTGTGTTCCTCACCCCTGGACTCTAAGGCCAGAACTCATCAGGCAATTGTGTGTCCACTTAGAAGGCCTGTACAACTTTCCTCAATCATGGTAGCTTCGTTTACATTTATTAAACAGTTTATGAGATCCAAAGTGCTATGAGGTTGTCTACAACAATAATAACCTTGGGTGAGAACAACCTCACAGTGTTTTGAAGCTTATAAATCATTTAATAGATACAGACTAATGTGCTACATTTGAGGAAAGATGTACAGGTTTCATAAGCGAACATTTAAATGCTTAACGAATCCTGGATCGGAACAAGGCAATTTGCAAGGTTACTTGCCTCAGTGGGGCTCAAAGTCACTCTGGGCCTGGCGTACAAGCAGTGTTGGGCTAGGCGGACCCAGTGCTATGGCTCAGTTTGCTACCAAGAGGACTTTGATCAGAAAACTACATATTAATTAATAATGCATATCAAAATGGTCTTCTACCCTTATGCAGTGCATGCATTATAGTATCCCAACCAACACATATGAAATTAAATGAAATTTATGACGTTTTGGTCTGTCCTGGACCCTTATCATGGCACAGCTTGATAAAGAGTACAGGACAAACCAAAACATCGCCACTTTCATTTCCTTTCATATGTGGGGGTTAAGTTATTTGTTTCAGTCACTTTATTGTGACTTATTACCTGCATAAATTACAGTACTGTATCTTCATTAACAATCATTTTGACAACTCGTGCTATGCACTCACCCCCATCAACATCAGAGCTTCAGCTCGTGCCTCCTCCGTCTGTGGCACATGAAGGTTCATCTCATCACCATCAAAATCTGCATTGTATGGTGTGCACACGCACTCATTAAACCTGAAGGTTCTCCACGGTAAGACACGCACCCGATGTGACATAATGCTCATTTTATGCAGAGACGGCTGACGGTTGTACAGGACAATATCCCCATCAATTAAATGCCTGGAAAAGATGAGAGCGGTAACATTACACATGTCGAGCAGACCTTACACTAGAAGGTGAAGGGACGACGACATTTCGGTCCGTCCTGGACTATTCTCAAGTCGATGGTCCAGGACGGACCGAAACTTCGTCATCCCTTCACCTTCTAGTGTGTGGTCTGGTAAACATACTTTAGCTACGTTATTGTGACTCATTGCCTGCATTACACGAGTCATGGGGTAATGCACGGTGACTTAAACTTTCATTAAAATTCAATATCTAAGAACAGCCTGAAACAAAATGCAATAATTATTAAAGCTTAGAGGACAAAGCATCTGACAGGATACGGAATCATGTAACCACACTGATTGCATCCTTTTGATGGAAAATGTAATTTCACCCAAGAGGGAATGAAATTACAGTAATTTGGGGCAAATTATTTTTCGTGAGACAAAATTATATATAAAATTATACGTAAGGGAAAGTAAGACAAAGTATAAAAAGCTAGGTAATTGATCCCTGGTGGATGAAATGTTTGGATAAAGGCACAAGGGTCAATAACAATGGAACAGTTTATTGTTGACCAGACCACACATTAGAAGGTGAAGGGACGACGAAGTTTCGGTCCGTCCTGGACCATTCTCAAGGTCCAGGACGGACCGAAACATCGTCGTCCCTTCACCTTCTAGTGTGTGGTCTGGTCAACATACTTCAGCCACGTTATTGTGACTCATCGCCTGCACATGGAACAGTTTAAGAAATACTATATCATAACTACGTGAATTTTTCATACAAAAAAAAAAGTATTTGACCAAGGCTTACCGTTGCCATCAAGTGGGTGCCCCTAAAATTAAGTTTACCAATTACACATAATCGTATCTTTCCTCTCACCTCTCAATGATGTCTCCTTGTCGGAGTTCCGTGGCCATTCTCGCCCTGTGGACGTATCTTAGGGACTTCTTGATGCCGGGAGTTGACCGAGGCTCGACAAACAGAGCCCCAGGGTGAACGTCAGGACCATTCTTGACCAGCTGCCTCATCAGTGTTATGTTATGTGCTGTAACTTTCTCTGGGTATGTCAGCTGTTTAGCCACCTCTATTGGAACTCCAACCTGTGTTATAAACATTTACATAACATGAAAAGTTGCAATTCAACTTTAAAAGCTACAAAATCTTACATCAGTTTTGCTTGTAATATCACACACACACTTCTAGTTGTGTGCAAATGTATGCAATGTAAGGGATTCATGATAGCTGACTCATTAATCTCAAGGGATTCATGATAGCTGACTCATTAATCTCAAGGATTCATCATACATGACTTGTTAATCTGAAGGGATTCATGTGATCGAAAACTCATTAAAAATCCGAGTCTTACTATAAAATGTGTCAACAAGTTACAACAGATGCACAAATACTTCCCATGCGGAATGCAACAAATTGGAAGTGTCATACACAATACATTTTTAGTGCAAGAATGGAAGGCATTCTTAATTAACATAATGAAATGCCTTTTTCTGGTGTGTCCCCCTCCTTGGACAGACTGTTTAGGGTGTCATGAAGGAGAAAGCCCTCCTAGTAAAAGGCAGCGTGCAAAACTTCAACAAGGGTTCAAATTATATTAATTCAGCAATAAATGCTAGGTCTCACCTCGTTAATTCTTAGATTAGGATCCGGTGATATCACAGTTCGACTGGAGAAATCCACTCGCTTTCCAGACAGATTACCCCTAAAACGACCTTGTTTACCCTTCAGCCGTTGAACAAAACCTCGTGTAGTCTTTCTCGCCTGCAAAAGTATGTCAGACAGGTAACCAAAGACACATCTCCAAACACAGCTAGTTATTCAATTTTAATCCATACTTAAAGAACATCAAGGATGCGCTTACAATACTGAGTATAGCATTATTTAAAACAAATATGTTGTTTAAGTTATTACCTAAAATTATCTGGCAAGTTCTCAAATTTGCTTATATTTTCCTTATGATCTAGTGTTAAAAATGATAGCTTCTTTCTGCTCACCGTTTGTTATGTCTTGGTTTAAACAGTTTCTGAATTAACAATTTAATAGCTAAACCATCTGCTTGCATGTTACCTGCTTACCATGATTATTGGTCAGCAAGGAGCATCGTCTCCACCAGATAATGTCACAATGCCTATCCATAAATCGCGTCCTCTCCTGCAAGCAGCATCGTCTCCACCAGATAATGTCACAATGCCTATCCATAAATCGCGTCCTCTCCTGCAAGCAGCATCGTCTCCACCAGATAATGTCACAATGCCTATCCATAAATCGCGTCCTCTCCTGCAAGCAGCATCGTCTCCACCAGATAATGTCACAATGCCTATCCATAAATTGCGTCCTCTCCTGCAAGCAGCATCGTCTCCACCAGATAATGTCACAATGCCTATCCATAAATCGCGTCCTCTCCTTCAGTGGCGTACTTCACTAACCCAATACCTAACTGTACTACACTCATTTGCCAACTAAATTAATTACATAATACGGCCTAGCTCTTGCCCCTTCCTACCATTCAATATATCACTACCAACTATACTGCAAATGGCGGCAACATGTGAAGTACGTCGTCACGTACCATACTTAAATCATGTGGCACGGAAATTTCAGAGTTCATGATAAATGCAACGTGAAGTTGCAGGTGCTCCCAGGAGTCTTGAATACTCTGAACCTTCCCTGAACTACGCTTGTTGATTAGGTTGTTCAGGAAGATGATTTCTGTCAACATCACTGTGATGTCGTCTTCGTTCCTGGTAGAAAATAGAATAATAATTATGATGTAGGGTAAAATCACAAGAATTTAATGTATCTATAAGAAAATAGTGAGGTCATGCTATGGAATCAAACTGATGTCCCAGGGACTCTGGTTCCATCCAGTAACATCCCAGGAGAGGAAAAATCATATATGAAGATTTGAGGATGATGAAAAACAGATGAAGGTAAGGACTTCCTTCATCTGAAGGAAGGACTGCATGAAGGAAGGAAGGACTGAAGAGGACTGCACGATGCTACCAAGAGATGATGTCGGGACGGCAGAACAAATGGTTACTAAATTTTAAGCAAAGCAAATGCATGAATGTATCTTGAGTTGATTTCGTAATAGAATGTATCTTGAGAATGTTCATAATAATGCAAAAAGGACACTGGGATTTATTAATCGAAGCGTTAGCAACAAGACACCTGGTGTTGTTATTCAGCAATATCTTTAGATTATGGCCTCATTTAGATTATGCAGTTCAGTTTTGGTCGCCGTACTATAGCATGGATATAAATTCACTTGAACGTGTCCAGCATAGGATGAAAAAGTTAATTCCCCAAATAAGAAACCTGTCTAAAAATTAGAAAAAAAGCTTAGAGCTTAAATTGCATTACACTGGAAAGACGAAGAGTTAAGGGTGACATGATAGAGGTTTACAAGTGGATGAATGACCATAACAAAGGGGATATTAATAGGGTATTAAAAGTATCAACACAAGACAGAACACAACACAATGGGTATAAATTGGATAAGCTTAGATTTAGGAAAGACTTGAGTAAATACTGGTTCAGTAACAGGGTTGTTGATTTGTGGAGCCAATTACCGCGTAACGTGGTGGAGGTGGGGTCAATCGATTGTTTCAAACATGGGTTGGACATGTATATGAGTGGGATTGGATGGTTATAAATAGGAGCTGCCTCATATGGGCCAATAGGCCTTCTGCAGATACCTATGTTCTCATGTTCTTATGTTCAAATGTAAAGTAATAAAGTTAAAGATAGGAAAGAAAAAGCCAGAGAGTACAATACACAAGGAAAGTAAGAGCACGAACATACAAAAAAACCAGCGTTGAATGTAATGAAACGCCATTTTCTGGGTGAGCCCCGGAGGCTCCCTGGAGCTTATCGGGCTAATGTATGTTATGTTAGACCGGGACATTAGCTATGGAGTTCAGACCTACCAGGGACCAGCGCCAGAACCTGGCCCCTTCAGAGAGGTTTCAGGAAGCAATGGCCCTGGAAAACCCCATATGGTTGGGGGTTTTCCTTATCTGCCATCGACCAGGGTTAGGCACCCAGAAAGGTAGGCATAACAAAACAAACCCCACATGGTAAAAAACTACAACAAAAACCGAACAGAGAGATAGAAAACTCCCTACAATCCCAAGGAAACTAGCAAACAAGCAAACATCACACTTTACTGCCGCGCCGATCGTCCGCGCAGCCCTCCCCACCCTGGGAGGGGAAGGGGGGAGCCCCGGACCTACCGCGCCGGCTGCCAAGCTCCAGTTCGGAAGCTAAGCTTCAACCAACGCGAAAAAAACGCCGACCGGCGGGAGGGAGGGTTTCCGGGGAGCCTCCGGGGCTCACCCAGAAAATGGCGTTTCATTACATTCAACGCTGGTTTTCTGTGGGGAGCCCCTACGGCTCCCTGGAGCTTCATACCCAAAGAGAAGGAAAAGAAAGGGCTAACCCGGGAGGCGGCCGCCACAAACTCTGCAACGCAAAGCCAAGACAACCGGTCGCAAACCTGCGACCCAAGGCAACAAGAACGCCCAAGAACAGACGCACATATGGATGGGCGGCCAAAAACCTGTGCGACCCACAAATCCCTGCGCCCAAAATGAGCCTGAGACGTCACCAACACAGCAGCAAAAGCTGCAAACGTCTGAACAGCACGGGCGCAAAGACAGACCGCAGGAAGAAGGAAAACACTGCGGACGACCTGGGAGACCCGAGCCCTGAAAACAGGGAACGAAGGAACCGGATCAACCACAGCGCATCCCCAGGCACGGTACGCCGGCAACAGCAAAAAGCACAACCGGACAACACAGGACGCACCCCCCGGCCAAACCAAACAAGTACCAATACCCCAAGAACCCCTCCGGAAAGCAGCCGTCTCGACCGTCGCCAGGACAGAGAAAGGCTGTACACCAATAAAGCTACCACCAGTACCAAAGAGGAGGAAACTGAAACCGAAGGGGCTACCACAAACTGAGGGGAAGATAAGAAGGCACCCTGAACAAGGACCAGGATGGCTCAGGCGACTCATGAGCAGGCCGGAGGGGAAACAAAACGCGAGAAAATGTAATAAACGTCATACTGTCTTCAAGACGAAGCTCGCAGGTGGGACACCGTCAACAAAGCCACCTGAACACCCTAGAGGTGGTGATACCTGCGTCAAAATACCAGACGCGAAGAGCCAAGGAGAAGGCCGAACCAGTCACGGACAGGACCGATTCGGCCTGCTGAAAGAGGCGAAGCCTCAGGAAAAACGCCCCGGTTACGGACACCTATCAAGCAGCGTCTGAAAAGAAGGCCGGGCCGGCCACCATGGAACCATAAGGACTGTTCTCGTGGGAATGGGCTGCAACTGAGCCAGAACCCGAAGCAACAGCTGGACCGGGAGAAGAGGTACAGGTACCCCCCCCACCTCGACCAGGCCTGCCGAAAGCCTCCACCGTGAAGTCCTCGCAGGTGGGAAGGGCGCCACAAAACGGGCGACGCCTAGACCACGCCGACCCGAAGACGTCCATGGCCAGGAGTCCATAAGCCCAACAGAGCCAACAAAACGAACCGGCGACGACTGGCCAACCCACGAAGAGGAATGAACCGAGACAGCTGTCACAACCGGGCTGTGAGCCCAACGGACAGACAGACTCCATCAATCACGGCCGACCTGGTGAACACTGGTCACAAAGCCCCGGCCGAGAGACGACCCGTCCGTGAACACATCGAGCAAAGGCTCGGGAAGGTGCCAAGGCACGGAACCCCGAAAACCCCAAAGAGGAAGCTGGTGACGCAGCACCAACACCAGATCCCCAGAGGAACCCAAGGAATGCAAGAGGCGGAAGGGGAGTCTCCGTAGGAACCAACCGACGCCGTAGCCAAACCCGACTCCGCGGGCAGACAAGCACGCCGAAGTGCAAACTCCCGCACAACCGCCCAAGCAACCGCTGAGCAACCCGAGACCCCCTCCTGAACAGCCAAAGGCGGGACCACAGCCGCAGTAACACTTCTGGAGGGAAGACAATGAGGGGCCCAAGAGCCTGAAACAAGGCCCAGGTCCGAACCCGGGACGGAAACAGATGGAAAAACCTCCAGATCACCAGGAAACCAAACCCAGCGATCTGGAAAGAACCATCCCCTGGCGAGCAGACAAGCGGACTGACTGGGAGCCCACTCCAGCCAGTCGTCGAGGTAGGCCAGACACCGAATCTCAGACGCAGACAGGGCACTAAGATCCGGTAAAGATGCAAAGAGTATACAAAGTGCCCTTTACAAAATAGGGAAGGCAATAAAAACAGCAAACCTGAAGCCCCACCACCAAAGCATTATATGACAATCATATTAAGACATATTATGACATATGACAACCATTATATGACAATATGACAATTATAATCAAAGCATTATATGACAAAGAGTGCTGGGAAGACGGGACACCACGAGAGTAGCTCTCATCCTGTAACTACACTTAGGAAATTACACATAAGTAATTACCAACCATGCTAGCCCCAGAAAAACAGGAGAGGAACGTGCCAAGAAGTGACCTGGAGGTCCAGGGCCACCATCCATGCACCCGGCCCTAACAGAATCCGAACAGGAGACAACAGTCCTCCGAGGAGGGCAGAGGATCCAGGGCGCAGACTGAAGTAGTCCAGAAGAACTGCAGACGGGAAAAGCTCATGACTGCAAAGAGCAGACGGGAAAAGCTCATGACTGCAAAGAGCAGACGGGAAGCCCAGAAGGATGGGGCGGATCGACCACGCACCACGCACCCACGAAGAGGAAATGACGAAGCACAGGGGAAGAAGCCCACCCCGCCAGCGCTGAACCCCCCCCAAGGGGGAGAAGCCGTCCTCCGACGCCAGCAGAGGCCGGAAGACAACCCAAAGCGCCCACCAACAGCGAGACCAAGCGAGAGGCAACAGAGCAAGCTGCCTCCCCAGCGCCCAGTCAACAGAGAAGGGAACAGAACCCCATCCGAAAGAAAAAGTACACTACCGAAGTCATGAGGAGAGACTACGGGAATGAAACCACACTTCGCTGGAAGATGAAGGGAGGGGAGACCTGATCACCACATTCAAGATACCCAAGGGAATCGACAGGGTTGATAAGGACAGGCTATGTAACACAAGGGGCACACGCACTAGGGGACACAGGTGGAAACTGAGTACCCAAAAGAGCCACAGATAGAATTAATTTTTTTTTTTTTTTTTTTTTTTTTTTTTTGTGTCAGAATGGGAACGGGAAAGCACTAGGAAGTAATGTGGCGACTCCTCACACAAGGAACGAGGCTGACCCCCATACAATGTCACATGTAGACATGACAGAGCCCAAGAGGCACAGGAACCTATACACCTATACGGGTGGAAACAGGCTAACATAGTTCCAATCTACAAAAGTGGCAGCAGGGAAGACCCCCTCAATTATAGACCTGTATCATTGACAAGTGTAATAGTGAAAGTATTGGAAAAACTAATCAAAACTAAATGGGTAGAACACCTAGAGAGAAATGATATAATATCAGACAGACAGTATGGTTTTCGATCTGGAAGATCCTGTGTATCGAATTTACTCAGTTTCTATGATCGAGCCACAGAGATATTACAGGAAAGAGATGGTTGGGTTGACTGCATGTATCTGGACCTAAAAAAGGCTTTCGACAGAGTTCCACATAAGAGGTTGTTCTGGAAACTGGAAAATATTGGAGGGGTGACAGGTAAGCTTCTATCATGGATGAAAAATTTTCTGACTGATAGAAAAATGA